CTCTTGTATTCTGTCTATGTCTGTAAGCTCCACTTTCCCAGGGCCACAGATATAAATACCGATCAGATCTCTTATATGAGCTTTTTGCAACTGTCTAGTTTCGTCACCGTCTCCTGCGGACCGATATTTTGTACTGCTACTTGCCGAAGAATAAATAGTAAGTTACTATTCTCTACCGAGCTAAAAGGAAGGGACCTTGTCCCTAGACATCTAAAAAGGGGATCCGAGACGGAGACCCAAAACGGGGCAGACGCACCGTAAAACCTTTACAAACTGCTATTTTTTCGCCGAAGTTCGCAAAGAGAACGCTATAACAAGGACGCTCACTTATGCTAATATGTACGGCAAAACACTCATCCGTCAGGAATTTAGCCCGGATCTCCTTGTTTCTTGCTCACCTGGCAAGAGCATTGAACCACACACTACCGTCACAGAAGTAATGACAGTAGACTTGCCCGGTAAGTAAGCAAGCTCGGGTTCGGTCCCTGGCTGTGCAAAGTTAAGCCCATAGCTCAGAACCTTACTTACAATCCAACGAAACAGTTTTAATTATTCAGTTAAATCAGTCGAAAGCTGGGCACTACTTAATCAACTATTATAACCCCAAAATTTCACGAAAACCGTTCTGCCGAGTATGGCTATAGAAGCCATTATACACACTTATAATAAATATGAATTATCATTAGCGCGAACGCCACGGCGTCGTGCGCCAATTTGGAGCAACTTTTCGCAAAATTTGCTCAGAAATTACATTTGAAGGTAATTCGTTGCCTTAAACACGAACACGGAATTGTTTTTTGGAGCAGTTCATCACCGATTTGGCACCGTGTTAGCGCTAGATGGCGTTAAATTTCACTATCGTATTCAGAACGCTGAATTACCCCTACATTCACGTTGACAACAAATTAGGGAGAAAACATGGCGCCAAATTTTGTCAGCGCTAAAAGCTAACGTAATGTACATGATAAACGAATTTAATAGAACCCTCCCCACAGAGTTTGCCAGAATTCAGTGATTCTGGGGTCGAAAAAACTGAATTGTGCCAAAAATTGAAACTAGAACTGAATGATTGTTAAGGAAATCCGCATAGGCTAATAAAATGTCAGACTTGAACAATGCTGTGCTACTCCGATGGAATTCCAATAAAAGAGGCAAAATAAAAAATCGAAATTGCTGCACGTGCCGGCCAAGTGCCATTCAAATGACGAGGTACGTGGTTGGAAATACAAATTTTCCTCTTCTTTTTCCTCCTCACACGAAATGCAATGCTCAATATTTTCTCCAGAAAAAAAAACAATCCAATTAGATGACATACCCATCTTTCACACGACGTGCTTTCCGCCATGTTCCGTCTGGTCTTTGCGTAGCCGCAATGAATGTTTCACCTGACATACAAGCTCTAACCAAACAGTTTCTATGTAAACCCAAGCACAATTTATATTTGAGATCATCAAAATGAAAAATGAAACATTGCGAACTACAGTACAATTTTACCGACCTTGAGTAGTCCTAATACGAGTGTCGCCACCGTCTTGTTTATTGATATTCGACGATGCCATCTAATTTGTACAAATTAAAATACATAATCAAATCGTAATTTGAAAATACGCACTATGTCTACTTGGAAAAACCTTTAAATTTTCAAAATAACAATGAATGACAATTGAAATACTTTATTTTCATGTTTATCATGTAAAATCATAACTATTCACAAGCAATAGTTAGCCTATATCATCTACCATAGTCATAGGAGATCCACTGAGGAAAATTTGATCCGCTCGAACGGTTAGCATATCACATCTATGAAGATTACAACGCAAGAGGTTAGAACGGTTGCGGGTGAAGACAATATGGATCCTCAGAGCCCAGAGAAGATTCTATTATGAACCGGTAATGTGGAAATGCAGATGTCGAGAACATTATAGCACGATATCCTCCCTGATGAGACCAGCATTTCAGCGCAAGCACGAACGGTGACACCTTCATAACCTGTTTAATTCTCTTGAAAGCCCTAAGAAGACTGAATGAAAGATGCACTTCAAGTTGAGAGCTTTTCTACACAATTTCTCAGGAAGCTTCCGCAATAAAAAAAGCAAAGAAAATGCAGATAAGACACGAACACCCAGAAAAGAGC